CAACTCCCCTTCTCCCCTCTCTTCTACTCCCTGACCCCTGCTCCCAAATTTTTGTCTGATTCTAATTTCCAGGTGGGTCTGTATATGTTTTTCTTTGGGTTCACCTTATTACTTAGTTTCTCTAGGATCCTGAAGTATAGGCTCGTTGCCCTTTGTTTATGACTAGTATCCACTTATGAGTGAGTAAATACCATATTCGTTTTTTTGGGGTCTGGGTTACCTCACTCAGGATAATGTTTTCAACATTTAAATGTAAAAACTGCATATTTCTTTCCCTAGTGCCATATATATATATATATATATATATATATATATATATATATATATATACAGGTTTTCCCGTGTAGCAGCGTAACAACAACAGTCCTGGCTGTCCTGGAACTCACTCAGACTAGGTTGGCCTTGAATTTATGCAGGTCTGCCTGCCTCTGCCTCCCAAGTGCTGGGTGCTGGGATTAAAGGCTTGTGCTACCACTGCCCAACTCCCTAGAGTTTTTTTAAATAGCAATTTATGTGTCTGATTGAGCTTTTACATAACAGAGCAACTAAGTAGGATTCCTTAAAGTAACTTTTTTATATTTTAATTTAATTTTTATTTTATGTGTGTTGGTGTTTTGCCTCTTTGCATATCTGTGTGAAGGTGCCAGATCCTCTGGAACTGGAGTTACAGACAGTTGTGAGCTGTTGTGTGGGTGCTGGGAATTGAACTTGGTCCTCTGGAAGAGCAACCAGTGCTCTTAATTGCAGAGACATCTCTCCAGCCCTTTTAAAAGTAACTCTTAGTTCAAAACCTTCCTATGTCTAGACAAAAAAAATCAGTGGATCTATTAGATGTTGAACTTCAGACGACACATGGTTATACAATTTGGTAAGCCAAGATGTCAAGAAATGGTTTTCAAAATGTAACACGACACCGTCTCACAAATTTCAAAGTTAGTACTCCAAGCGCTAGCTCTGGAAAAGAACTTCATCTCCGCATCGCTCAATGTAACAACTCTATTCCCATATACCTCAGAGGAATGGAATTCAGATGGGGGTAGGCATGACCTAGGAGTCAGACTTTGAAGGAGGGTATGGGCAGCATGGCGGAATCAGCTTCCAAACCTTCCACATGCGTACGATGGTGCTTGTCCTTAGCCAGCGTCCGCTCTTCCCAGAATAGTATTGCCGTTCTCCTCACCACACATGGGAGAAATCTTTCTCTTCTCTCTTCTATTGAAGGTTTTTCAGTAATGTAAAATCTAGAAGTATAAAATCTCCAGAGAGCCAAACCAAGGGACAGCTCAGCAATTCCTTTAAATCAAGACTTCATAAGCTTTACTCTCCACTGAGAGATATTGTTCCAATTCAGTTTTGGGTGAGAAAAAAGAACTGAAGACCTCTGCAGGAGTGCAGTTTTGTAATAAAATTTTGAATTTTAGATTAGGCTTTTGATGAGAGAATCATTCTGTTCACTTATAGTGGGACATAATTTTCTTTTATGTGGAAGTGTTTGAAAGCACACTTATATTTTGTAACGTCTTTGGCCTTAACGTCTAGCCACTTGACAACATTTTGAAGAAGTTGCAAGTTGACTGAATATGGACAAGCACATCGTCAAACTGCTCAGAAATTCTCACCTGTACATGGGGAGTGCTTGGTATACGCAATACTTATTCTTTAATATACTTTATGTCTGACATTCCTGCTAGTAATCTGCCACTATAAATGCTTGGCTGTTTTTCAGTAAACAGTATGAGGGTTTCCTGGAGGATCATTTTTCAAGGAAATAAATGTGCAGACCTTTATAAAGAGCTTTAATGCCTCTAAGCTATGACTGTGAAATCATTAATAAGATTAAAAAGTGGAAATTTCAATGTTTTGTTATCAACTAATTGAGCCTTGTAAGTTTTAAATGTTTATATTAATAAGGTGATCACATTCACAAAACCTTGTCTCTTTTCTCTTGGTCATATTTATAATACAAACCAGCCTTACTATTGAGAGTGCAAATTTTTGAATATATAAAACGTTTAAATAATTAAACTGAGATGAATATATTTAGAGTTGTTTAATACTTTTGTTTTTTGATGAAATGTTATTGAAGGGATTATTATATAATAAATAATATAAAACAATCAAGAGATTATAATGCATGTATCTAAAAATAATTTACAGAGATTAAGTGACTGCTACACGACAATTTTAATTCATTAATGCCACAGAAATGAACAACTAAAGAGAACTGGATATAAACTTAGGGTGCTAAGATTTTTGCCAAGGGGGAAAAAAACCTCTGAATTCCATCATTTTGTTTTAGCATGTAAATGACAAAATTAGGTATTTATAAAACTAGTGTAACAAGCAATAAGATCTAAGACCATCTTTTTTAAAATGTTGGTAATAAGCCTAAGTTTTTTAACTCAGAATATACCTAATACATTTACTTTTTAAGTGTAGCTTGTAACTTTTGGAATAAAACAATTCTCGAAACTTTGGGCTACTTGATCTGTTTCAGTTTGTATTGTTTTTAATATAATAAAAGTTCCTATCCTTCTATACTGATGTCATGGCTGATTTCTTTTGGTGGCTCTTGTTATGCTTTCTACTAAAAGTATGTGTGTTGAACTGAATTAGTAATTCTTAAATATGTAACAGGTGAGAAACAGAAAGAACAAAATGAAGATACACCTTCAATAATTTCATCTCACACTGTTTTGAGGCCTAAAATGTCAGTCAGTTCAGGGTAAATGTCAAAGAAGTTCCTAAATAATCTCAGTGAAATATTTAATTACAGATTTGGGTGGTCCCTTGAGTGTGAATGTGTGTGTGTGTTTATGGGTGCACCTGTGCTGTGCCACAGTGCACATGTGGAAGTCTGAGGACTAATATTTGGTTCTCTCCTTCCAGCATGTATGTCTGAGAAACCCAACTCAGGTCATCAGGCTTGGAGGCGGGTCCCTTTCCTGATGAGCCACCTTTGGCCAGCCCCTCACTGTGACAATTCTAGACACACATAGAATGAATGAACTCTGATCACACCCACCTCCACTTCCTGTTTCCACTCTTGTGTTCTCTTTCTGCCCTTTCTCTTCCTCTCATCTAAAACTCACCTTACTATTTTTCTGCCCCCCCCCCACAAACAAGGGAAACCATGTGATACTTGTCTTCCTGACTTATTTTGCTTAATATGATTTTCAGTTCTCTCTGTATTCCTGCAAATGTTATTATCTTCTTGATGGCTGAATAATAATCCAATGTGTATACATGCCACCTTTTTAATCCATTAATGGGCATCGAGTCTGACTGTGACGCTTGTCTATTGTAAATGGTGATGTGTTAAATACAGATGTACAGGCATTTCTATTGTGTATTGTCTTGGATTCTTTGGGTATGTACCCGATAGTGGCATAGCTGGATAATATGATGGATATATTTCTAGGACCTTTTGTTTGTTTGTTTGTTTGTCTTAAGGAACCTCCCTACAGAAGGCAAAACAACCAGGATCTTACATTGTAGACGTGGTGAGACAACAGTGTGAGGTCAAAGGCTTCAAAGGTTGTGTGTTCTGGATGGGGAAAGACTCCAATGGGGAAATTAACACTTCTGCGTAAAGCAATGCTATATTATATATGTCAATGTTGATAGCTGCAGATTAAGATAAAGATAAAACCATAAATAATAAAAAGATAGTGAGACCAAATAACTCTACAGGAGTGGTGGGGCTTTGTTAACATTCAGGTTCCGCCAAATGACAATGGGGGCATGCAAAATTTGCTCAGCGCATGAAGTGCTTGCTGCGGACATAAGGACCCACGTTTGGATCCCCAGCAACTCCAAGAGCCTGATTAGCTGTGGTTCAGCTCCCAGGATTGGGAGTTGGGGGCAAGAGGTCCTGGAGTGCATGGATGGGGCAGTCGAGCCCAAATGGTCAGTTCCAAGTTTATTGAGCGATGATCCCGCTGTAGGAGGGGTTTAGAAGATGGCACATGGTGTGAATTTCTGACCTCCACATGTACGCCTCCACCCCTACTCATGGTGAGAAGATGTCTAAAAAAGTTAAGAAAACTATACAAAAATCGCTCTCCAGACAGAAAAAGCCCAACAGCTCGAATATTTTAAGTGAGAGGGTGTGCTCCAATGCAATTATAGCTTTAATGCCTCACAGGTCCTTCACCCTCCTTTTATAAGGGCTGTTGGGGTTTGTAAGGTGTTTTTGGTATTCTGTGCTGGCTAGTCTTATGGCAGCTTGACACACTAACTAGGGTGATCGGAAAGGAGAGAACCTTAACTGAGAAAATGCCACCATAAGATCTGGCTGTAAGGCATTTTTTAGTGATTGATGTGAGAAGACCCAGCCTACTGTGGGTGGTGCCATCCCTAGGCTGGTGGTCCTGGGTTCTGTAAAAAAGCAGATTGAGCAAGCCATGGGAAGCAAGTCAGTAAGCAGCACCCATCCAAGGCCTCTGCATCAGCTCTAGTCTGCTGCCCAGTTTGAGTTTCTATCCTGATTTCCTTCAGTGATGGAGAACAAAGTGGATGTGTAAACCTAATAAACCCTTTCTTCCCCAACTTCCTTTTTGGTCACAGTGTTTCATCCTAGCAATAGAAACCCTAGGACAGATTCCAAAGCAAAATAAAATAGTACCTACTCCTAAATTGCTTCCGAGGGTTCTGTAGGTCTCTCCCTCAAAGGAGAAGGCAACCATCAAAACGCACATCTGCATGGCCATTTATTTGTTCAATGGTGTAGCCTATCAAATGCAACAAAGCGACTTTTCTTTTCAAAGATGTTGGGCCGGGATGGGAGTTGGGGGATGAGATAGAAAACAGACTTCTCAAGATCTTTTGGGAAGGGGCTCCATTCTTTAGCCTATACTGACACCTGACGCGCGCCTGTCCGGGTGTAGCGTGGCGGTGTAGCATAGCGGCGCTGGTGATGGGGGCGAAGGCAGGGCGCTAAGCCGGTAGCTGGCCAAGAGGGTACAGACCTAACGGCAATGCAGAACCCGCCGACCTCGCCGCAGACCGATTCCACAGCAATCCATGGCCCGCGCAGGCGCACGACAGCCAGTGCCAGGCTGGAGGGCCACACCGGAAGTTCTCTAAGCGCCCCGGATGCGACTGGGTGGCGGCGGTTGCCAGGCGACGGGAGCTTCTCTGTGCCGCCGGTGCTCGCGAATGGAGGTGTAGAACTCATTATATATTGCGGGCCTTGACCGCTGAGGGTCGTCTTCTCCGAGTACCCATGATGTTCTTCTATCTGAGCAAGAAAGTGAGTTTCCTCGGGGACCCGCCATCGCGCTACCTCCGTTACCGCGGCCGCCGGTGCCTGTATCTTCCGACGACTGGCTCTCCTGGCTGCTTCTCCATCTCTCTGTCACCTATATCTTCAAGTGGTTTTCTGAGCCCGATAGTACTTGGTCGAGCCAGTAGCTTTTTTCTTAGGATTCTTTCACATTCCTGTCCCGCCTAAACGCTTTTGGGTGACAGAACGTGACCACCAGTCGCTGGTGGATTTTTCCTCGGCCACTTGTTGATCCAGATGATAGATGACCACAGCCTGCCCCGCCAGAGGACAGAAATTATAAGTGTTGTGTGGGGAGAAAGGGAGCCAGAGCAGTGATGCGTACTTAGTCTCAGTTCCCGCATTTTTGAATCTGTGAGGTGATCCTCTCCTGTCCTCCCCCCCTTGTTTTCTTGGCAGTCACTCTCCTTCCCTTATGTGCACTTCTTTACTGAATATTAGAACCTGTGACTTTTAGGGGGGCACACTCATTTTCATAACAGCTCATTCCCCCTCCTCCCCAGGGAGTCTCTCTCTCTCTCTCTCTCTCTCTCTCTCTCTCTCTCTCTCTCTCT